TACCAGTAGAAGTTTGTTAAACACTAGGCATGACTAATTGAGAAGACAACTATTGAGTTTTACTTTGCATTAATGGTTTATATCTAAAAATTTTCTTGCAGCTTATGCTTTAAATTGTTTATCTAGCAAGCTTTAACTTTGAAATAAGGGTTACCCATATTTTACTTACTCAGTTATCTCACATAATTTTTCCTTGTCCACTATTTCAGGTAGTGAGACCGGAAATGTGGGAAACGAAGGGGAGTGACGAGTGAGAAAGCTAGCCACTTGTATTGTGGATATAGATTTTGAGATATAGATCATTCTTTTGAAAGTTAGATTTTATTTTTGACATATTGAATTTTAGTTTAGTGGATGGTTATACATGAATTAAGTAAGTTCCGAGACTTGTGCATTTGTGGGATTCTCTCATAAGTGTACGGCGTGTATGGCGTGTACGACATTTATTTCACTACTAGTTTTTGGGCATGACAAGGATGCTCACTATTCACACAATAATCAACAATAAAAGATATGTTGTTGAAAATGGGGTGAGCTTACTATTCATAAAAATATTGGCAACAAGAGATATGTTGCTAAAGATAAAATGCTACACTATTCATGAAACTATCAACATGTTCCTTATTGTTCAAAACAGGGTGGGCTTACTATTCATAAGAATATCAACAACAAGAGACATGTTGTTGAAAATAGAATGGTATACTATTCATGGAATCATTGGCAACAAGGGACATGTTGTTGAAAAGGGTGCCACAATTCCGATAGTCGGGTTCAATGACTATTTTTAGCAACATGAGCCATGCTAGTGAAACTATACTTTCAACAACAAAAGGTATGTTGTTGAAAAGGGTGCAAAATTCTAGTGACTAGCTCTGGTGACTTTTTTAGCAACATGACCCACATTGGTGAAGCCATACTTTCATCAACAAGGGGTATGTTGCTGAAAAGGGTGCCATGAATCAACAACATGAAGCTTGTTTCTGATGTATTACCAACCAAAGCTTCTCCAACAAAGACATCAACAATATGGTTCTTGTTGTTGTTTTTAGCAACATGAGTCACGTTGGTGAAATTATACTTTCAACAACAAGGGGTATGTTGTTGAAAAGGGTGCAAAAGTTTGGTGACTAGCTCTGGTGACTTTTTAGCAACATAACCCACTTTGGTGAAACCATACTTTCAACAACAAGGGGTATGTTGCTGAAAAGGGTGCCATGAATCAGCAACATTAAGCTTGTTTCTGATGTATTATCGACCAAAGCTTCTCCAACAAAGACATCAGCAACATGGGTAGCACTTTTATCGACGTACTACCATGTTGTTGAAAATTAGAGTTTTAGTAGTGTCGTTGCTAAGTTGTGCTTCAATTGTTTTTCTCTAAAATATCGATTAACTAGTTAATGACATTTGGATTGCAAAAATCATGATTTTCAATACTCATACTAATTCATTGACAATCTTTTTATGTGTAAATGAAATGTTGATGCTTACTTGACGAAAATTACCCCAACTTTCTGGTCTCTTTTTGGATTCAAAGTAAATTAACCTAAAATTGGCAAAATAAAAATAGGATTCTATGCTTCTATGTTTGGAAAGTTATTGGATAGGCATCTGTGATTGTCTTTCTCTTGAGAAACCACTCTATTTTCTGAGAAACCACTCTATTTTCTTCATTTAGATACCATTTTCCCTCTGTAAAATTGTCATTCTATGTACATTAATACACTAATCATAGACTACCTATATGAATTCTATTAAGGTTTAAATTAGATTTTTGAATTGAATTGATTATGAATATTGTTTACATCACATTCGATAATTTTCTTGATGAAGTCATGTGTCTTTAATGGAGATCCAATGGCCACAATGTTTTCCATAAAATTGGAAATTCACAAATGATCAATAGTCATGATTTGGTGCGATGCAGGCCATAATAAGGTCAAATTTTGGTGAAATGAATTCCTGCCACGTATTAGAAATTCAAGGAAAGAGGTTAGTTGTTCCACAAAATAAGGAAGGTTGTTGATATAGTGTTGAATAAGTCAATTTAGTTGAGCAAAATCAGAAGTGGTCCCAACAAGCCTACTTTTAGGAATTTCTAATAAATAAAATTTTATTTTTGGCAATTAAATGCATGTGGTAGAAATTTGTTTTGCAAGAAAGGATTCAAAACTATCAAAATTCCTTCGATTTAGTCAAGTATGACAACAAGGAAGTTGGAGAAAATCATGATCATATCAAATTTCTATTAACAGTTTCAATTATGAAAACCCATAAATATAAGATTTCAAGAAAAGTTCAATAGATCTGCCTTTCTCAATAACATCCACATTTTAACATGTCTTAACTCAATGTTAGTTTAATTCATAGAAAGCTCTTATAGTGTTTCTACAACTTTTTCGTTAGTGTAGAAGAGGTTTGACTCCTTCAACAGGTTCTTTGTTTTTGTTGTTTTTGGTTAAATTAGCTCTAGCAATTAGATTTAATATAGTTGTTCTTCTTCTGCCAACACAATTTGCATTTTTGTCAGTAATTTGCATTTCTATCTAATTAGCTTTAGATTCTACTTTGTTAGTAAATTTATGTTTCAACCTTTAGTTGTAATTAATTTTTCTCAAATTTTCAAGTAAAGATCTTAGTTTCATTTCATTTACAACAGTAGTTAGTTCTTTACCTTTTTGCTAGCTTCAATTTATATTTCTACTAGTACTCTTAGTTTTCAATACTAGCTAAGTTTTAAGATTTCTACTGCATCCTTTAGTTTAATGCAATTATTTATGAACCTTTATACAAGAATGCACCCTCATTTTTACTATAATCATTTGGTCAAGATATTATTAGCATGATCTTTTAATCAAATGGTGTTCTTCTATTGACTTTTAAATAAGCTCCAACACTTAGAAGAAGTGAGGGTTGCCAAAATTCCTTCTTTCTTGCTTTGAGCAAAACAATTATGTGGTATGCTTGTGTAACTTCTACTGCAAGTGGCCGAGAGAAGAGGATTTTGGAGAAAACAAATATAAAATTTTAAATTGCAATGGAATTGAATTCTTTTCCCTTCGCAAGATCAGTTTTGAGAAGTTCTGCCCCATAAATATCAACTTGCTCAAACCAAATTCTGGTCCGTGATAGCAATTTTTAATAAAAACATTAAAAAAAAAAATCAAGGAAATGATCTTTTTTATGGAATCAAATTCCAAATTATATATAAAAATATATGGAAATTGAAGTTTTTTGTACGTTGATTCACCAACGTTGCCGACTCAAAACCCAGGAACCAAAAACGAAATCGCTTCGGAAAACCCAGCAATATGAAATCATCAAACCCCAACTTGAAAAATCAAGATTGTGGGAGCATAGCTTGATTAAATGACATTTGACTAGCAGACCTTCCGAAGTGATGAAATTCGCTCACCAACCAACTCGTCACAGAGTATTGAAGTTTGTTTGTATTACTTTTTCATTTCTATTATGGGAACATTGAAAGGGTTGCTGTATATTAATATTTTTGTCCAGGAATACTTTTTTATTAATAAAAGTTCATCTTTCTAATAAAAAGGATGTGTGATTTTGATCTTAAGTTTAGTTCTTTAGACAAATTATCACCGAATAGAATTTAATTTATCCTACTGTCAAATGGAACAGATTATTAGTCATGACAAGGTTTATTCTCTTCCCCAGTATTTACCATCAAAAATCACAAACTACTAGTTCAAATGAAATTTAAAAAGAAAAAAAAAAAAAAAAAAAACTACACTTTACCTCAGAAACAAGGAAGGGAAAAAGAAGCCTGAGAGGAGAAAGTGTTTCATTTGTGCTTAGTTTAGGAGTGCTGTCTGTAACTGTAATTATTGATTTTTTTGTCTTTTAATATCTCAAAAAAATATAAAATATATTTAATATATTTAATAGAATATAAATTTACTTATATACAAATTTTATATATCATATTTATACAAAATCTTGATCATTCATCTTTTTATTTTCAATAATTTAGATTTATTTACTTTTTATCATACATATTAAAGATAACTATTTTTTCATCTTAAAAATTATGATAAAACCATTGAAAATAAAAAAATGAATTGTTAAAATTTTGTATAAGTGTAATATATAAGATTTATGTATAAGTAGATTTTTATTCTATTTAATATTTATTTTGATTAATATTTATATATTTTTAAGTAATAAAAAGACACAAAATCAAAACAAAATATCAAAAAGCGTTGTCAAATAAAATCTTAAACATATATTGCTTTTCAAGAGCCTATAACATGATATATGAAGTTAGATCTCTCAACAATTTTTGTGCTTAATTAAAATTTAGCTTGGGTTCGATTGATGGTGGAAGCAAAGGTGCGGAGTGAAAACGAGAAAAAGTGTAGAGAAAAATACAAATCTAACCATTTTTTCTATTTAAGAATATAACTTTTGTTAATTTTAAAATAAGATAGTAAATTTTTAATTTTATTTTTAAAATGTCAACTTTATTTTTTTTATTTAAAAATATCAGCTTTACATTTTTTTATTTAAAAATTAATTGAATGGCTAAAAGAGTAATTTACCACGTCAACATCATCATCCAATTAATTCTTAAATAATAAAAAAATAAAATTAGTATTCTCGAATAAAACAAGTTAAAACTTTATTACTATATTTAGAAACAAACAAAATTTATATCTTTAAATAAAAAATTAATAAAATTCATATTCTTCTGTATTTATTCTCTGAAAAATGATATTGAAACAAATTAAATACTTTAAATACTTTCTTATTTGAAATGTTAACTTCTAACAATATTAATAATCTATTTCGTCATTAAGTTAATGAAATATGACGTGTGAGTTTTATCATGACTTGTTATTATATTATTGGTTTGGGATAGCACATGGGATGGTATACCCTTGCTGTCAAGCAAGGAATTAGATTCAAGGGCCAACCATTGAAGGCAAGAGTCCCACTGCGAAATATTACATTGCATAAAAGAGCGTTTAGAAGATATTGTAAATCTTGAAAAATAGATGTGAACAAGGTGACGATGAGCAAGAGAATCATCATTTTCTGGTGCTCCTGGCTACAAAAACAGCTCCGTACTCGCCAGCATGATTCCACCAGTGACAACCAGAAAAGCACCATCAACGGAGAAATTGTCATTAGCCATGGCCCCGACTGGCTGCCACATTTTGGTCAGAAACTTGCTTCGGTTCAGATTTACGGTAATATCGTCACAGATGCATGTAAGTCACTATCAGTCCCAAAATGTCAACAAACCTTTGTTTCTTTTCAATATTATACCTAAAAGTCCCTTATTTTGCAATCTGAATTATGTCAGATTAAAAAATAAAAATTATTGAATAAGAAAAAAATCCTCAATAGTAAACGGCCCATCCTTCATTCAATGATAAATATTATGTAATTAGATACAATTTGAACTGTATGAAATTTTTTCAAATTCCCAATATCTTGATTACTAGTTCATTACAAACAATGCCGATCCCTTCCCTTTTTTGATCACCTTCATTTTCTGCTATGGTTGCTCGGATGGACATGTGCACCTTTAATTGTTATTGCCACACCAATATGAGAATTCCTCTGTTTTTTTAGCTATAAAGATGTTCTTGGACCAACTTACATATTAATTTATCTTTAATGCAGTTAATATGAGAACTCTTAGAAACTTAATCATTTATATTTTTTTGAGAGAAGAAAGCCAAAATTTTAAATTTTTATGCGGCCTCTAAAAATTTAAAATTCATTTCCTTTAGATACTTAGATTTTTTTTTCCTGTCCAAGGTGTTTACATTAACAATTCAAATGAATATGTTGATAAAAAAAAAAAATCAAATGGGTACAATGCTTTTGGTTATTTAAGGTAAAAAGGGAACTTCTTTCTTTCTTTAATTTCTTCCCTTTTTTTTTTTTTGGAACGTTGGGACCTCAGTAAGTTTCGACATTATGAAGTTACTGTAGGAGCAACATAAGATGATATCACGAAGTTTAGGGTACAATTGAAATGAGAAAATAGTTTTGGGGCACAAAATTGTATTTAATCGTCAGAAAGCCATTGGTAATATGATGCAAGACACAGGGTGGTCAACGGTAGGGAAATGCATTAGAGTAAAATCATTACATTTCTTACTTGAGTTGGATGCAGCAGCCTTTGGACAGGAATTGCTCAGTGACAAGGCGTTTCTCAGAAACGGAAGAAGGAAGACACAGAATAATCTGAAAACAACAATCTACAAATTTAAGGTCAAGGTGGTTCGAGAATTCGACACCCCTGGAGCTTCTAGGATAGAAAACAGGTGCCATCGTGAATTCTTCCTTGAATATGCTACTCTCTCAATTCCCAACAAAAAAGCAAGACATTCGCCTCGACTGCAGATCATGGATATACCCCATCAAGAAGACGAATCCTTCAGGTTTTCTTCTCGAATGCTGTATGTATCCTTTCTAATTTTGCTTATTTTTCGTTCATTAACAATGCAAATATTAACCCAACAACTCGTTTCTCCATGACAGAGTTATCTTCCCTCGGAAACGCCTTTGGGTTAAAGGAATCTCAGGCAGTGTGAATTCAAAAGCTAGAGGGGAGAATTACCAGGCCAAGATGACAAGAGGAAAGAGTGGGAACAATAATACGAATATGAAACTACAATGATCTGGAAGATCCTGACAAAGGATTATGCTATGCCAGACTGGTCTTGGGCAGCCCTGAGTATTCATACCCACGAAGGTTGAAAGCAGGTCGCTCTCATTGCAAACAAGGTATTGGACGAAATTCTTGTGAGACATCTCTTATGCTACTATTCATTGATCCTTAAAATTTTCCCTTTTCTTAATTATTTTCCATGATGTGTCTAGATCATTCGATTGTGACCCGACCAGAAACAAACTCCATTGGTACTTATATCCCTCCTGATGAAAGACTTAGCCCTGAGAGATTATTAGAGCTGAAAGCAAACTTAATCAAGGCTATTGTATATTTTCTTGTACCGGCAGAAGAAACCCGTATCACCAACAGGATTGTCGAGTTGACTGCACAATATTTTTCTTGTTTGAATATGCCAATTAGAAAATTGCTGGCAAAAAGATCTCTACGCCATCAGGATTCTGGTTCTTTTAAGTCATTTGATGATATAGTCAACATGTTCTCAGATAGAAGGAGAAAACCAGCAGAGGTAGTCAAAGATAAATTGAAGAAATGGATACCAAATGAACTTTATAAAGAAATTGTTCGTGCTAGCAAAAGAGAAGTTGAAAATTTGCCATTGCCACCAATTATAGCAGGTAACAAAAACCATTAGATTTTGGTCTTATTTATTAGTAGCATCACAAATTTCATTTTTTGCATACTTTATCTTAGCCGCGGAGGAAAGGGCCTTGAGGAATTTGGGCGCCAAACACTTGCTGGATCTAATCCCATTCTAATCAAGTGCTTGCAGGTTTCTCTCTAAGTAATTAAGAAGAACCTCTATGGAAAATGAAATACATTCTCTATAATAAATATTATTTTTGAAAGCATCTATTTATCAGGTTTTATGCATCATTAGCTTTCACTGCAGAAAGGATGAACTGAAGCTGCTAGAAAATAATAAATTGTAAAGTACAGAACGCAGATAGAGAAGCAATTTCATAGAGGCACACTTGAAGAGGTAATAAAAAAACTTGAGTTGATTTTTTTT